CCGCGCTGCCTACGAGCCCGGCGGGAACGGCATCGTCGAGCGCCATCATCGTACCATCAAAGTGATGGTGGCCCGGCAGTCCTGCTCCGTTGCTGAAGCAGTCCATCGATACAACGTGACACCGAAGGATGGCAGTGACCCGGCCACAGCTCCAATCAACGGGGTGCTTCGACACCCTGGCCGAGACGTTGACGTGACGCCCCGCAGAACCTCAGACGAGCCTGGTGACGCCCTGCCGCTGAAGAAACCCGGTGTATACCAGGTAGGGGACAAGGTGTGGGTTCGGCGGCGGGGCGACCGATGTTTTGTAAAGTCAGACGAGGGTATTGTGACAGGCGTCGTTTCGGCCCAGACAATCGAAGTCGATAATGTCCCACGACATGTGCGAAACCTCCGACATCGGTTGACCGTCCCTGAATGTCCGAGGCCAGGGGCTCTGCGAGCGCCAACGGTGGAGTGGTCTGATGACAGCGAGTGTGATGGCGTGTGTGTGTCGCCAGCTCCGAGTGATGTGACGGAGTCGGACACGCGGCCGCCCAGCGTCGCTCAGTCCCCGGACCCCGATCCACCGACCGGGTCCGATGTGTCCGCAGACGAGAGTGAAACGTTCGTGCCTGCGACGCTGCGGCGTGGTACGCGTGTTCGAAGAGAGCCGGAAAGATATGGCGATGGTGTGCCAGAGGATGTAGTTGATGCGTTGATTGAATGACATGTAACATGTAGAGTAATGTGGTTCTTCAGAACCAGGGGGTGATGTAGCGTGACGCAAGGATGAATGTGAGCCGTATAAGTGTGAGTCAGCTTCAGCGTCGAGCTGTGAACCGGTGACCCAGCGTTGGTCATAGCCGCCGGCATCTGATGCCGGCAGGGCCGAGTTACACCCTGCAAGTAGCTGGGCCGGGCATGACGTATGGGAGCATGATTGGCTGGTTATGATGTGAGATATATGACGTATGACAGCGCGATTGGTTGGTGATGATGTGAGATGTGTGTCTGCGAGCTGTGGATGTGCCAGGAGGGGGATTGTGAGTTTAGTTGGCTGGAAGGTGTAGAGGAGAGCAGAATAGATCTTCTTCTTGTGCTGGACGGTGACTTTTAAGTCAGTACGACACCTATGCCACGAAAGTGCGCCTTATTTGACGGAACACGTCGCGTGCGAGAGGTAATGCGAGTGGCGCACATCAATCAGGCGGCATTGCACAGCAGGTCCATAATTCCGGCCAATTCACCACTCCGATCCATCACTCCCGACACGGCATAACTCATCTCCGCTTGTCTATTTACATTTGCAGCGCAATCAAACATTCCGGCCGGCCACTCGAAGGCTCCATTACCCGGCTCTGGACGGCCGGACCGGATGGATGGCACCCCGCACCAGACATCTGTGTCAAACGGGCCGTCTGGCGAGCCGGGCAGCGGGCCGAGCCAAGACCAGCACCCGGGCGCCAATCATATCACACGCACAGGGCAGCCACGCATCACACAGCGCCCGCACACGGCAGGGCCACCGGCGCGGCAGTCGGGGGCGAGCTCCGGGCTCCTTAAAGGGACCCTCCCACCTTAACATTAGTTTTGAGTTGAGATAGCGAAGTTTGCGGCCAGGCTCAGAAACCACCATTTATCCTGGTCGCAACCCCCGCAGCTTTATGGTCTTCAAGAAATTTCTTCCCTTTACTTGCAGGGTGGGACCAGCGTGGTCCCTATCTCTTAACCATTACGGGAATCTGATGACGTCATCAGGCTTTCGAACGTCCGTTAAATGTTTGACTAAAACGTTTTGTAGCACGCGGTGGTATATGCTGCTTTGCGCGCAACAAATGCCGCACTTTCAAATAAAGTCGCTAGGAACAGCGGAGATCCCAAAAAGTAAACAAAAGTAAAAGTCTAATATCTTGAAAACCGGTGAATATTTTTCGATGAAATTTGGTAGATATTCGTTTTTGCTCTTTCTGAACCGAGCGACATCACTTTCATGCCAATTCATTAACTTTTTTGAAGGTGGGAGGGTCCCTTTAAACAAACCCAGCCACCGGATATCATTCGCCAGTCGATATCGTCTTCATTAATAACGTACGGCGGTGACTAGGGGCTCTGGCAGCTGGAGCCGACACCTCCCGTCCTGCCAGCGAGCAGTTCGAACAACTCCTTCTCGTCACGGTCTGTCTCAGCATGGCAGGCCGGCTGATAGCATGGCTATGGAGACGGAGAGGACGGTCTGCCCAGCCGGCCGGACTTCCAGCGCCTGTGTTTACCCGACCCGGCAGGTCGCCGCTGCAGCTGGAAACACATACCGACGGCCGGAGACGGATCGGAGACAGCCGAGAGACGATATGGAGACACCCTGGAGACGGTTCGGAGACCTCGCTGTGACACAGGAGACCCCGGATGTTTTCCTGCCACCGTCATCAGGAGCGGGGTGGAGCCGGACGGCCAGTCACGCTGACACAGCATCTGGTGCACGTGATCGAACCGAAAGTGCATGCAAGTTCCACTCTCAACAAGATTCATTGATCAAATTATGAATGAAGCGCAATCACATACAGAACCCTTGGTTCCCAATCAGACCACAAATCAGGCTCCTAAACACAGCATAGTGTTTCAATTCCTGCACACGGAGTCCATGGTGACTGTTTTGCGCCGTCCCATCTCGACCCTGACCTTCTGCAGTCGCTCGGCCACGCCCTGTGAACCCCGCCGCCGGCGACGCGACGGTCCATGAACGTCGGCGCCGACGCCGGCCAGTCGCGTCGGCTGGGCGGCGGACCGGCGCCGGTCAGCTCACGTTCCGTCGTTCATTAAATTCACAGCCGCTGATACTGTCCAGAATGAAATGAACGGGCGGCGCCGAGGGAAACTCATCTCCACGATGAGCTATGGAGGCAATGAGCTCCGTGCCCTGGATATCACGGAAACACTAAATGCCTCCTACACCATAAACAAAAGCATGCATTACCACACAAGCGCCTGGGCGGCACCACACCAGTGTTTGGGCGATACTTTACCAGCCTCACCGCCCAGAAACACGGAAACAAGACAGCGGAATGACAAAACAAGTCTTCCGCCACTGTTGCTGTCAGTTCACGGAAGCTATTAGGAGCCACGAGGAAGAACAATGACAGTTGGAACATTCCATCGGCCAGTTTTGATGAATGTCCGCTTTTGGGCCGAGTCGCTATTGGCTGACGCCCGCGGCATGTCGAAAAACAAGCCCATGTGAATGTATTCCAAGTAAGGCAGGTAGTGGACGGGAATGGCAGACTGTCTAGATGTAGCCTCAAAGATGACTGGAAGGTTCAAATGGAATGTGGCATAAGTCCAGTGTCAAAGCGCATATAACGAGTCACTCAACTGGAACGATCATTCGTCCGAGACCAAATTCCTTATGCAATAAACATGTCAACTCCCCGTTGAGACCTACAAAGCCCTGATTTTCTTTCACATGGAATGCTGATGCAATTGCCCTGGATCTAGGAGATTGGACAGTTCGTCTTGCAGCGTTTGCTATGTCGTCCCGCGGTTAATGACTATCATTTGAGGAAGTCCGCTGCCTAATTAGGGGTCGTACTACGTCAATTAGCAGACGTTTTCACCAACACATATCCCAGCACATAAACATACACCCAGCGGTGCCGTCCATGATTATATGATTTTCAAATACCAGAGAGCGTCAGTTTCTGGCCTTCAGTCAGTAAACGGACCAACGGAAGGCGGCAAAGTCCGAGCTCTTACGTTACTCAAGCAAGTACCGCAGACACTATAAATACGACTGAGTACGACGCGGGGAGTCGCGTCACCGAGTCGCAGTCACTCGCACCAAGCCACACACATGGAATTCGGGAAGGTTGGAGACGTGCTTGAAAATAGCATGCATCTTGTCTGAAAAAACATCAACGGATTATGTTGTAATTTATCCCGAGCATAAATTACAACATGGAAGCTGTGTCTAGCTATTGCGATGGCGGATGAGCAAATATTCGATGAACTCTATGCTTCAGCTCCACAAAAGGCAAGCCTTTGTTGCTGTTCGAACAGCACACTCACCTGGAAAAGGCTCCAGGAGGAAGCAGCAGAGGCAGTGGCCGGTGATGACATTTGTCTTCTGCTTCCAGTCAGCTGGTACGGAAGACGGCTAGCACATCCTGCCATCTTTACAGAGCTGCCTAAACCACAGCTTCCCAGGCCACGCCACAGGTGGCAGCACTATCCACACCTGCAGTCTTCCGACCGTCCATCCGCCACAAATGCTGAATCCGCGATCGATATCATAGTTCAGCACGCTTCACTCGTCGCTCGCTTTCGTCTCTTCGCTTCACGAATTAATCCACGCGCATCATCACTCCAGCGATCACCGTTCCACTAATCGGTAACCCGCCACTCGTCAGCAGACCGCTCGCGTATCCCGCGCCGTCGCCGAGTCCTTCATTTGACGACGCGCCGTGCCGCCAGAGGGATTGTGACTAGTGAGGGGATGGGATGGTGACCTCCGGGTGCCGCGACCCCACACCACCGCACCAGGCATGTTGAGAACGTCAGAGCAAGGTCATCAGATGCATGGTACACTGAGAACAGCGACCCCTGGACAAATTGGTCAGCAATGACTCGACGGTAATATTCCACGTTGACCCTGGCTTTAGAGTTTAGATGAAGACATTATCCCAAACATGCACCCGCTGAAGGCTCAACATCAGTTTCTTTCCATGACTAAGCACTGCTGAGCTAAAGTGAAGGTCCCATCAAGACTGGCTGAATGACACCACAGCTAAATGACACCTCACATACCATGCACTGATGAGCAGGCCCCTGAGCTCTACCCCAAGTGCGTACTATTGCAGCCCGCAAACCAAATAAACTTCCTAAGCCCGCAAACTATATCTGCAGCAGCATTATCCGTCCTATATCCACCTTATACTACGGATCAAACCCATTCCCTCCCACCCCCAATCAACACACCTAGCCATGTACTTTTAGCACAAAGCATCACCACTTATCGTTGACCTCACCTCGCCAGTTTTTTGACCGGCGACGCCCGCAGGCGTTTGACCGGCGATCGGGGCGGCTTTTTGGGGCGCACGGTCACATTGGCCGCCAGCTGCCGGGCCCTGGGCGGCGGCAGAGCGTCAGCGGCCGCTGAGCGCCCCCGGGCCGAGCCGGCGCGCACGAGCTCGAGGGGCCGCGCGGCGCTGGCTCTGACCAGCTCCCGGGGCCGGGCCGAGAGGCTGCGCAGCGCCGCCGGCCGGCCGCTGGAGATGTCCCGGTGCACGGAGCCCGAGCGGGGAGTGGACACCGTGCGCGGCTTACTCGGAGAGCCGCCAGCCGTCCGGTGGGCGCTCCTGAGGGGGAAGGGGAAGCTGTCAGGGGATGAGACAGATGCAGCAGTATTTTCAGTGTTGCATTGAAAAATACACAGCACAGCTTTTTATGAAGCAATTAGCAAACGTAAACCTTTCTAATGATCTGCACGAGTGAATTAATGATCTGTACGGCGTCCATCTACTTCCCTGTACTGACCTGACGTCCCCTCAGCCCCTCTAAACCCACCTGGCGCCCCTGCTGTCCCCACTACTGACCTGGCGCCCCTGTCTGCCCCCAGCGGCCGCCGGGTGGGTGTCGTCGACACAGTCCTGCTGCGCACACTGACTCCCGTGGTCACCAGACGCACGGAGCGCGGGGTGCGCGGGGACGCCCAGTCGACGGGCCTAGAGGAGGCCGCCGGGCCCGGCGTGGTCCGCACGTGCTTCATGGCGCCGGCGCCGGCAGCTCACACCTGAGGGAGAGAGAAAGAGGGGTGTCAGCCAGCCGCCAGGGGGTGGTGGGTGCACCGGCCGATCGGACTTGTCAGAGAGGTGGCAGAGGTGTATTAGTCCAAAAGCGGTGGGGTGTGGACAGCCGGTGAGCACTGGGGTTTATGGGAGGCAGCACAACACGGCAAAACGTGCCAGATTTCGGCGTGGTTATTGGGATTGAGATGGCGTGTAATAAGCGGCGGCTGTGCTACACCACAGCGCCATCTAGACACACAAGATTGAGCAATTCATCGTTTCGAAAGCTGTCCACCGAGCGGCGCTGCTATCACAGCTCACAAATTTGTTGATATCCAACAGATAAGTAGGTACTGGACAGTGGACACTTGGACATGCAGGCATTTTGCACGACTTTTGAATCAGCCAGGGTTACGTTGGCCATGCCGATGATGCGGAAGCATTAAAATAAGCGTCAGCCAACACTGAACCAAATCCACTGAATCAGGCCATCCATTTCCCATCGACTGCGAGTCGGTACCCTCCCCGCGGTCCTCAGCCACCCGACCCGGATTTCGTGCACATCCCACACTCAGCCCGGCGTGATCAAAGTCAACCACCACGCCCCCATCCCTCCGGTCAGCCGAACACCCCCGCCCCAGCCATCCGGTCAGCCGGATGCTGTCCATGGACCGACCACCCTCCTCCCGGGCAGCGCGGCGGGGGCAGGCACGACCAGCCGGCCGGGAGCTGAGCACGAGTTACGGCACACTAACCGGGCTACGAAACACCGTCACTACAGGTGAACGATGGACAAACGTGGAGTGTGAGCAGGTTTACAGTTCATAAACAGATACATAGACATTGGGAGGAGCGCGGTAAAAGGTGAGCGTCTCGGAATGTACTTTGTTGTGGTGCACAAGCCTGCTTGAAACGTCTCTTCTCTTTTTATTTAAAGAAATGCTGTAAACACTTCACTTGAGAGGAGCCAATCAACGGGAGCATGGAGGCTGGTTAATTTTATCGTCCCCTCCAGCAGTCAGCACCCACTTCTAAAACACTAAGCACTAAAACAGTGGTCGGCAGGTCCTCCGGGGTCGTGCCCCCTTTTTTGGCGCCAGGCAGGGCCATTACCCCCACCTACCAGACCCCATTGGTGATACAACCAAGGTTACTGAAATTCCATACTTTTCCGTGACTCTTTGGGTACCATATCTGCGAGAAACCGCAGGCCCCCTCCCCTGCGGTTCTCGCAAATATCTCAAAAACGTTGGCACGGAGCGCCACCATTTTTGAACATTTTATCATGCATCGTTTCTGCACATGTTGTGAATATTTCAGACCAGAGTCACTCAAGGTCAGGTCACCAGATCACTTCGAGTGACCTCACCTCACCTCAGTAAAGACTGCAACGCCTGCTTTAGCTGCATTGAGTGACAGATCTCTTTCAAGCTTTCAGGAATTGATAAAGGCAATAACATGTACAAAATTTGCATCTCGGAGATTTGATGTCGGTGACCAAAGTTCAGGTCAATTTCACGCCCTCTCCCATTATCAATGGGAGAGGGCGCAAAGTCAATGGTAGAAAATTGAAAGGTGCCTCCTTTGGACCAGTGTCATTCCTAACACTGTGACACTCTTATTTACAAGTAAACATGACCGCTGAACCGGAAAATTGCACCCGTAACCCCACTGTATGTCCCTGAGGTCATTTCAGGTCATGAATGGTATCTAACAGCTATTCGCTAATAACTTTGATAAAGGCATCTCAGAGCGATGAAAATGCCTTAGATGTGTTCAGCTCGACGATACGGATCGACTGATGTGCAACAAAACCTTCGATGCTTCTCGACGGGAGGATCACGATGCTGATAAAAGTGAGCTCTTGCAGGTTTTGAGTGAAAAGTTATTTAAGAAAAACTATCAGGAAGCAACGTACATTTTGGCAGTTTTTGTCTCCCCTGCAGGCTAAACCATCTTCGGTTGAATCTGAGGGCAGGCATCAGAAAAAAAAAACGTTAAGAGAGCTATCGAATGCGTTTTTCCGCAGCGCTGTAGCTCACTATCCTTTCCTGAGCTATAGGCCAGTTTATCGAAAATTGTCAACAGTTGACCTGGAAATTGGCGAAATTTTACGTTCGATGACCTCTGGTGACCTGACCTTTGATTTGACCTAAAAGGTGACCATAGTTTTTCTTCATCATTTCTTATGCTCTTTCGATCGCCGACTACGGCGTTTCGCTAGTGACCCAGGAGCCAAGTTAATAGGGGGTGTTCAACCTCCATCTCCAGCAGGGCGTGGAAATCCAGGAGCCCCAGCGGGGCGCGGGTTAACCCCCATACGTATAGGTGTAGCGGGTATTTTTCGAGAATAGATCACATAGATCACAAGGGTCGGATCACGAAAAAAACTGTACCATCGAGCCGATCATTTTTATCTGTCCTGAAAATGGCATGACATTAACCCGAATAACCGTTGATTTGTGAGATATTTCTTGAGATCATGGCAGGCCACAAAATCTCACCTCAAGAAGTTACAGCAGGACCCGATTAACTCGGCAGTTGTTATTGACCTATGGAAGGTCACCCAATGATCAACGACCTTTAAATTGGGTAGCAGCGGCTGCTTATCTTCACGGGCAACACGCTCAATTTTCTGCAAAGCTCCAGCTCAGAGACCGAGATGCTCAGGTCAGGGTGCAATGGAAGACTCCTCTCCCTTGCGTTAGTGACTGTGAAAACGCCAATAGACGAGCGCCGGCTAGTACATGACAGTAACTTTCCACGACTGTACGGAATGGTGAGCAGCTACATGAAAATTGGCATGCGCCAGCTAATCAGTTCATGCTTTGTGCGTTTGACCTCGACTAATCTTTGAATCCTGGGGCACAATAGTTGCGATGTTTGTCCCATCAAGGGAGCCATTAATTCTAAAAAAGATGAGGCTTTCTCAGAGGCCCTCATTACCCCCCGCCGAAGGGCGCCATTACCCCCAAAGGGGGCATGCCCCACCATTTGCCGACCCCTGCACTAAAACCACAACATGTGACTTCACCGCGCCACGTGACCTGACCCACTCCTCACCACCCATCATCCCACTAACGAAGCCGGCGCCTCTAAAACTCCCTCCTCTCTCGGTACGTTGACGGACTGGCTGACACACGCCGTTAATATGCATGGCCGCTCCGTGCCGAGCCGAACGCTTCATCATACGGCGCAGGGACGGCACCCGGCTAATGAAAGGCAAATGTCACGAGGGTGATTAGTTTCTGTCAGCGACAGAGGACGTTTATTGGGAGTGGGTGGGGCCGGGAGGATCAAGAGCGCGTGCCTGCCGAGACAGCACAGTCGTCTCCAGAGGAGTGATGATAATATGAGGCCGAGGGCCGTGTGGATTGTGGATGGCAATATGTACGACTTATTTGAGCGAAAACAAACGGTTGCTGTCCAAACTCTCTGGTGATTTCCATAGGGTAGTGTGGGGTAATTTGAACATATTTTTACGTCTTCTCCGTTGTACCAAATTCCAGCTTAACCCAGGATGAAGAAAAACTGCTTCAGTAGCGCAAGTGTCACTTGCTTTCACCATGCAAGCCTCATTTTTGGACGAGCCGAGCATGCCTTGAAAAGCATAGCCTCACTTCTCCACCAAGTCACGGTGTGTTTAAATGGCCCCACTGTGGGATAATTTGAACATACTGCCTTTACCTGTCATAGAAACGATAGTCTCGCCAACGCCGATGTTGTTTGACCCATAAACAAATAGGCAGAACAATTCAAAACATACCTTCACTTGAAAAATCAACACAACAACAAAAATAACAGTTGCAGAGTATCAATATCTGCACGCTGCACACCGGTCAGTTGACAGAATTCGCCTGTCTTCAATTAACAGAACGTCTATCATTTTTGTTCGATAAAAACTCGAACGTCTATCATTTTTGTTCGATAAAAACTCTCCCAACCGTACTACATCTGTTAAAGTGGTGCCAATCGAAACCTGGACATTTGGAGTTCTGATTTTGTCCAATGTCCAATTCGGAATTGGTTGGACAAAGGTAGCAGACTGGACAACATTGGACGATGGCTTGCTACACTTCAGCGCTTTTTATAAAGTAATCGTGCATAGCATTGATTGGCGAATGGAAAGCTTGTTAGGCTCTCAATATAATGAACACTTTTCAGCTGGTAAAAGTACATTATAAGCAATTTAAATGACAGTTTTGAGTGTTTATTAATGCGTAATTTTCGGACATATTTGGACAAATGGCTGACTTTAACATTTTTGAACGGAAATCAACAAAAATGCCGGACATTAGACGGATATTAGACGTGAATTTTATAAAACTGGCATCACTTATCTGGTACTGCTTTGGGTCGAAAATGTTGGCAAAAAAAAACTGGGAGCGTTGTTTTTTCGGAGCTATCCCTGTCTTTATTGAAATTCCCACACTATGTTCAAATTACCCCACACTAAAAGTTATTTTGCCATATTTAAAAACAGGTTTCAAAAACAAATTTCTTGGATTGAATGCACTGATCAGGTCATTGTACAACAAAAGCCGTTGCGTATTAGGCGCTAGCAATGCAAGATTTTGCGCTGCAATGAAGTTGCAATGACGTGTTTTTAGGCGTTTTTACTTGCGAAAATGATTTTTTACAGTGTGCGTCAGCATCTTCATTCCATGAAACTTTAAGCCCCGTTCATATGATAGCCCTTTTAGTTACGATAATTTCCCTCATTGGTCATATTGTCATGTCACTTATGGATTTTCCGTAATTTTGAGTTTTTTACACTATGTTCAAATTGCCCGACATGTTCAAATTACCCCACCCTACCCTAGTCAAAGAAGATGTATACTGATATTGCCACTCTGTTGGACAAAATAAAGGAAATATTGTTATTGTTAACAAAAGTAGTTAGATTAGAGAAAAAAATCAAACGATTACAAATGTTTCAAATGTTTCTATGTCCTGTAGCGCTGGCGTAAGCCCGCGACCGTTCATTCATTCTAGCTGTTCCATG